TTTTTTTTTTTGGAGCAGTTAGCGTGTGACCGACATTGCTCTAAGCATTTAACCTGTATTATTGCGTTGAACGAATGAATGACTACAATGTGTTGAGTGCTAAAATATAGTCGTGGGGCGCCTGGGTGGCTCAATTGGTTAAGCGACTGCCTTCAGCTCAGGTCATGATCCCGGGGTCCTGGATTCGAGCCCCGCATCCGGCTCCCTGCTCGGCCGGAAGCCTGCTTCTCCCTCTCCCACTCCCCCTGCTTATGTTCCCTCTCACGCTGTCTCTCTCTCTCTCAATTAAATAAATAAAATAAAATAAAATACATTCGTGACATATGTGTTATTAGATATACACGTGAAGAGTGAGAACGTTTTTCAGAGGGGCAGGACATGAGGGGCGTGCCACATTGCTAGTTTGGAAAGAGGGGAGGTTGGGAAGGGGACAATCCCAACAGAGGAACTAGCCTTTACAAAGACAGAGGGGCCTGAAGGTTACGGCTGGAGCTCTGACTGCAGAGGCCGTGTCAGGTAAAGCCAGGAGATGACACCCAACTGAACAGTGGGATAAAGCCAAGTTGTTGTGGGTGCAGGCTGCTAATGATGAAGTAATTCCCCCTGGGATGCTATGATGACCTAGTGGGAGACCTAGGTGAGAGCATCTATCTAGAACAGTGATGCTCTGCTAGTAGTGGGGGCTGGCACTGTCATTCCACGGGCCTCAGCATCTGGGGCTGCACAAGGCAGGTGCTGAGATGCCTGCCGACTAAAGCTCCTCCCAGCTCCCATCCACCTGGATCTCTTCCCTTACCCTGAGATGACATAAAGGTGGGAGTCCAGGCTGTCCACATTCTTGGTTTAGAGGTGACAGTTTCTTTTAAGGAGCATTAATTGGCCTTTGAAAATTCAAACTCATAACTTGCTTCTTAAATTGGGCGGAGGAATGGAAGCCAAAGGCGTTATTTTTATATCAAAGTGCACAGTCACAGAGCTGAGTCCTGATTGGTAGGATGGTGATGGGATGATTTGATTCTCCCAAATCATCTTTGGAAAACTGGGAAACACACAATATGCTTATCCTTGCTCAATTACCCAGTGCCAAGACCCAGGGGCTGCTGGAACACGGAAACTAATCAGATGATTCTTGTTTTTAAGGAGCTCATGGAAGAGGGGACAGATTAATACCCCATCCTCCTGCCCTCCATCAGTTCACCCTTGTGTGATATGCCCAAACAGATCTAAATAACCTTCCAGGAAAAAAAAAAAAATAAAGCAACTGCAATGAGTTTGTGTTGTGATCACAATGGTAATGAATAATAACACCACCAGTAGCTAACACTGAATGCTCACTCAGAGCTAAGCACTCTGCTGAGCACCCCCCACCTCCATCATGTCCTTTGGTGTAGGAACAGGGATGAAGAGGGAAATCTTTTAGGTGCAGGTTAGTGAACTCTGAATTGACCACATACCATCTGAGGCCCAGAAACCCAGCAGTGACCTGGCAGATGGAGAGGCTGCTTGCAGTCTGCACCATGAGTCAGCACCATTCAGGAGACCCCAGGAGGTGCAGCCACTTGGGCATCCAAGAGACTCTGCAACCTGGCCCTGAGCCACGGCAGCAGAGTGGCAGGCTTTGGTTTTGCAGCTCTGTATGATAGGCTCAAAATTAGAAGTGTTATTTCTAAGAGGATGGAAATCAGAAAAATCTGAACGATCTACAAGGATTCATACATTGACTCAAAGTGCTTGCATTTCTGTCTTATAAAGATGTTTGCTTGTTCAACACATAAGAATGGTCAATGTTGATTGCTCACTGTACCCAGGTGCTAAGCACCTTATTCCCTGGCTGGCTAGACTTCCCCGGGGGCTGCAAGGGGAGATCTCTTGTGAGGTGCCTCTTTGGCCTCCTGGCGCAGGACTCTGCCCGCCCCCCCATTGTCCTCCAAGCTGCCCCTGGGGGGTACAGGGTGGGGGGGTGAGGGGGGTCTTCACCCAAACCAGGCCTCTCCCACCGCTTGCTCCGTTAGGCATCTCAGCTTTCCCCTGTCCACAGTAGAAGGGGCTTCAATTGGCAGAGGGCAGCACGGGATGGCGGGGGGGAGGTGCGTGTTGGAAAGAGAACTCGTTCCAAGTTGATGGGGGATGATAGTAGCTGCTAGGCGGCTTGTATTTTTATCAGATATCGGTGAACTGTCTACACAGAGGAGATCACGTCCATTCCCCACGCCTCTCTTTTTTTTTTTTAAAAAAAGACTTTATTTATTTATTAGAGAGCGAGCGAGAGAGAAACAGCATGAGAGGGGAGAGGGTCAGAGGGAGAAGCAGGCTCCCCGCTGAGCCGGGAGCCCGATGTGGGACTCGATCACAGGACTCCAGGATCATGACCTGAGCCGAAGGCAGTCGCTTAACCAACTGAGCCACCCAGGCGCCCCCCACCCCTCTCTTTAAGGTACTGCACTGGATGGCTCTTCAAGTCCGGGCTGGGCGCTCAGTACCATCCCCACCCTGCCTCTCAGTCTCCCGACCCTGGGGTGGCACCGAGCCCCTGGACAGAAGCCTGGCTGGCCCTGCACCTTCAGGCTTTGCGCCTGGGATCGCCCCTCCTCTCCCTCCATATACCATACTGGACTTGCCCATTCATTCATTCATTCATTCATTCATTCATTCATTCAATCTTTCATTCCAAGGGCTCCTTCCTTGAGGAATGCAGCGCGGCCCGGCCCAACGCTGGTGCTTGGTTAACTTAGGCTGTGGGACGAACGTCAGGGAACCGTGTGCTGGCGGTCGCAGCAGCCGCCGCCGGTCCACAGGGCACATTTTGGATTTTGACCTTCCAGCTGCTTCAAGCCCGGCGGGCCCCGCCGTTCGGCTGCCAGCGCGGACTGCACCTGCCCTTCGCTCACGGGGGAGGGGGTGCTTTCCGATGAGCTCGTCTCGGGACCCACCCCCTTTCCGTCGCGGTTCGGTCCAGGGGGCCTCAGGGTGAGGCTGGAGCCTGGTCGGGTTCCTGGAGGCTGCGAGTCGCGCTGGGCGTGGTCGGGGGGGAGCGTAGGGGCAGCGCCCCGACTGAGCAGAACGGTCTCTTGGCGCCCCCTAGTGACACGGAGGAGGACACGCGCGAGCCCCGGGCCCTCGAGCGCCAGGAGGCCCCTCCCCAGCCCGTGGCGCACCCGGCCCGGGGGCGCCACCAAGCTCACGTTCCCACGGCCCCAGAGCGAGTAATGGGAGTGACCAGAGGGGAATGCCAGCCTGTGGCCCGGCCTGCATCCCCCCACCCACTGGGGAGGTTAGAGAAATTTGTGTCTAAGGACAATTACGGGTCACTCCTACCCACAGGCCCTCGGAGACCCCTGACGCTGCCCTGGGTGCTCCTCTCTGGAGGTACCCCGCCCCTTCTCTCACCTAAGAACAACCTGTGTCCCCCACCAAGGCCACGGCTCCCTGCGTGCACTGGGCCCCATCCTTTCTCATGGACATCACCTCTGAATTCTCCCCTGGCTCCCAAATGTTTTCCTCTCCCTCCTGGATCCTTCCCTGCGGTGCCCAACCTGCTCCAATGCATCCCTTCTTTAAAAGGAAAGAAAACCCTGCCATATTGCCTGCCTGCTCCTCTCCATCTCTTTGCAGCCTTTTTCAGCAAAATGTCTTGAAAATGAGTGTGGGTGGGGACAGCCACTCACCCTATCTTGAACATAATGATCAGGCACTCCCCCACATCCCTGGGCAAGTGCTCATGTCCAGGTCACCGTGGCCTCCACATGGCCAAATCCAGTGATCCGTCCTCAGTTCTCATCTTGCTGGATTGCTGGGTGGCTTGACAGGGCAGGGCCCTATCCCCTTTCAATGTTTCCCTCACCTGGCCCTCCTCAAGCCAACCCCCGCTCCACCTCCTTTGCTGGACCCCCCTCCTCTTTCCTACCCCTAAAGTTTGGCCCAATGCACAGTCTTCAGACCGCTTTTGTGTTCTAACCACACTGCCCAGGTGACCTCCCCTGGCCCCATGATATTCAACACACATCTATATACACTGTTATCTCCCAACCTTAGGGGCTACATTCTGCTGCTGTTGGGTGGAGTGTTCCAGGAAATGCCAATTAGGCCAAGTTGGTTAAAAGTGTTGTTCAGGTCTTCTATATCCTTACTGATTTTCTATCTACTTGTTCTACGCATTCTTTTTTTTTTTTTTAAGATTTTATTTATTCATTTGACAGAGAGAGAAAGAGAGTACAAGCAGGAGGAATGGCAGGCAGAGGGAAAGGGAAGCAGAGGGAGAGGGGGAGGGAGAGGGAGAAGCAGGCTCCCTGCTGAGCCAGGACCCTGAGATCATGACTTGAGCTAAAAGGCAGACGCTTAACCTTAACCGACTGAGCCACCCAGGCGCCCCTGTTCTATGCATTCTTGAGAGAGGTGTTGAAATGTTGGATTACAATTGTGCATTTGTCTTGCTCCTTATGCTTCTGTCCATTTTTGCTTCATGAATTTGAAGCTCTGTGATGACATGCATAAACATACGGCATTATTGTGTCCTTTTCATGAATTGACCCCTTTATCATGTTGAAATGTCCCTCTATTCCTAGTGGTGTTATTTGCCCTATAATTTACTTTGA